TTTTCGGCCGATTAATTTTGGTGGCCGAACATTCGATGCATCCCTAAGCAAGCAAGTATGTATGTATGTGCAAGCGAAGTATTCAATTTTGACCTAGGCAAACTCCAGTTAAGTTGACAATAAATCAACTAACTAACATCTTATTCACTGTCATAGTACCATTTGACAACAATCTAGGCAGTCAGAGTTTGTAAACTCTGGCTTTGGTCAGGAACAGGCACTAGATCAAAACACAAGAATAGGTTATAAGAAAGCAGGTTTAAGTTCAGATAGCTGGAAAGCAAAGGCATATGCAACATTGACAATGGGGCACTGACTAAGGAGAAGGGGCTGGCTTAATTACTGACAGGAGTAACTTGGTAATGAGGAACAGGTGAGCAGGTGGATATGGTACTCAGGTGACTGGGACTGGTGGGCGAATGAAGATGACAAGTCCGGAGAGTTTCTAGGAAATGCATGGAAGTTGTGAGAGTTACAGTATTAATTACTTTTACAGTATTATTATTACTTTATTAACATTTTCTCAATGCAAACTTTTACTTGTAACAGATTATTTAACAGTTGGGTATTACCACTTTTACTTAGGTTCAGTGTGTAAATTTTAGTGACATCTAGTGGTGAGGGTTGCAAATTGCAACCAGTGGCTCACGGTGCATTCATGTGCTCCTCGGATGGTCCCATTTCCCGAGTTGTAAAGTCAATCTTCCGACTTCAGTGTGTTCATGTGCTCTTAAGTCAGAATGTGGAATCAACAAGGACGCTACTACAAAGATGTGTTGGATTAGCATTATTAGAGCACATAAACAATATGCAGACATCTAGTTTACTCTACATGGACAGCAAACTAACCCTTATAACCATATTACACATTACATGTTAGCAAAACATGTATATGCATGAATCAAAGTTCTGTATGCTTATATATGTCCCATGTGCACTTTATTTCTAAGGAGGAAAAAAATATTCTTCCGACACCACATGAATGCATCACTCACAGCTCACCTCTCCCTCGGCAGAGCAGTTTGTCCATTTGGGCTACTGTAGAAACATGGCAGTGCAACATTGCGACTTCCATGTAAGAGGGCCCGTGGTGTATGTAGAGAGAAATGGCTACTTCTAAGGTACTAAAAACATAACGGTTCATTATGTAAGGTCTTTATACACCACTGAAAACATTTTATGGATATTATATTACATTTCTGTCAATAGATCCTCCTAAATATTACACACTGAACCTTAAGTCTTTACTTTTACTTCAGAAAACAATGACAATTCTATCTTTTTGTGAAGGATAAACTGACTTCGATGAAAGCTCGGATCAGCAAATGGATATTGACAGAATCTGCAATCAAAAATACTGAATACATTAGTTTAGATTATACATCTAAACTTCCACAGAAGGAAACACACAGAGAATCCCTCACAACTCAAACCTTTAAAACAGATGAAGAAGGAGCAGAAGACGAAACAAAAACAAAAACAAAAGAGGCCATGTCTTTGCAAAAATCTATAACATTAGAAGACCAGCATCAAAGTGAAGAAATAAAGTATGCTATGGAGAACATGGAGAAAACAAATCAACACATTAAAAGGCTCATTATGGAAATAAATTACCTACATAGCCAGACACCAGAGACTGAAACTGGGTCACAAATTATAGTCAGGGGAACCGGAAACGTGAAGAAAGGAGTGACTGGACTGCTGGAAAATATTGAACAGAAAGACATTTTCAGGGTTAACTCCAATGTTTTCAAACATGAAATAATTACGAAGGATGGTAATAATATGAAGCAAGGAGTAACTGATGAGTCTGACTTGATAAGATTGGATGTTGAGAACCAAAAACAAAGTCTGGAATTAAGAGAAGATCTATGGACATGTCCTGAGGAGAAGGACGGAAGTTCTTGTAAAAAGGTCACAGGAAGTGCTGATATACAAAGACTTAAGGCAGAGATTTATAGAACACAAGAAATCATAAGATTAGTGAAACTAGGACTTGAAAACAAATCTGAAGAAAGTAACAAAAATCATGAGGACGGAGACAGTGAAATTGAAGGATTGCTGCAAGACATCAAACAATTCCAAACACTTTTGATAATGGTAAAAAGTGCAATGAGGCAAAATGAAATGCATTTGAAAGAAGAAATGAGAAACATGAAAACAATGAAAATGGCAGCAAAAAAACAGAAAAGAGAATTAGATCAGAGGTTGGAGAAAACTTTGAGAGAGAAAGATGAATTAGATATTTTAAAAATAAAAATGCAGAGACAAACTGAAGTGACAGAGCAGAAGTTGGAGAAAATGGCAAAAGTTAAGTGGACCATAGAGAAAATTTCTGCTGAGACAAGAAAGAAAAGTAAAGACATAGAGATTATAATGAAGGAGACCACAGAAAAACTGAGACTGTTAGAAGAACTGAACTGTAAGATTGAGGCAACAAAACAAGAACTGGAAAACAACTACCTTTTAATATCCCAGGAAAGAGTTCACCTTGAAAAATTGAAAAATGAAATCAGGCAGAGAAAGGATCAAGACTATGTATTGGAAAATACTGAGAGAGAGAAGGTAGACATAAAGAAATGTTTCAAAGGTGAAACAGATACAGAAAGGAACCAAATGACAAAGAACAGAATGGACAAAAAAATGGAGGAAATGGAAAATGAAATCTTCAGACTCAGATCAGAAAACAAGAAATTGGAGGACAATATAATAAAACCGATAATGGACAGTTTGGATGAGAAAAACAGTGAAATTGTACAACTGAAAAAGACAGTAAGTGAGCAAGTGAAACAAAAGCTTGAGAGAGAAGAGATTGAGATGATGAAAAAACAGATTCAAGTGGAGAAGGAGAATGTGAGACTAGCAAGACAACAAGCTGAGGCAGAAATACATGAGATGAACTGTTTAAGGGAGACTATTGAAAGACAGAAACAGGAGCTGGAAGACAAAGTGCAAATGACCAAAAGAGAAACAAGAGAAATAGAGCTACTGAAGTCAGAGCTGGAAACAAAGAAAAAAGAAAACAAAAAGATATTTAGGAAAAGCATGAGAAAAAAGGAGGAGAGTGACATAATGTGTTATGAAATACAAAGAAAAAAGGAATTACTGAAGAGCAAGACCAAAAAGAGAAGAAAAGAATTAGACCAAAGACTTGAGAAAACATTGAGAGAGGGGGACAAGTTAAAAATGTTGAGAATTAAACTGAAATGGCAGAAAGAAGAGTTGACTGATGAGAAGCAAATGAGTATCAAAAAAAGAGCTACTCTTATCCAAGTATACAGAGAACATGAAAAACAAAGTCTGGAAAAGCAAGAGGTGATAAGTATCAGGGAGCACGCTGAAATGGCACACCAAAGCTCCACAGTCACAGATTCAATTGTTGACCTTCAAAACATCACACAAAAGATTCATGTGCATATGGAAATAATTAAGAAGGAAGTGGGAATTCTGGAACCTGTCAGTGTTCACTTATGGACACAGATAGAAGACCTCAAAGTAATAAATGCGGAGAACAGGGCTGTAAGAGACAACATCAACAGAATCAAATCTCAGATAATAATGGACTTTGAAAGAATTACTATACCAGCAAAAGCAAAAACAAATGAAATGTTCCAAAATAGGGATGATATCAAAAAACAACAACAGAAGCTTGAAATTGCACTAGAGAAAGTTAAAAGAGAAAAAAGAGAGATGGAAGTGTTGAATTCTGAGTTGGAAAAAAAGAAAAGAGAGAATAAACACATGATCCAAAAAGGGATTCGAATAGAGGGGAAAGTGAAAGCCATGTGGGCTGAGATCGAAGGAGAAAAAAATGCCCTGAAGAAGGAGACACAGAGAAGAAAGAAAGAGCTCAACCACCGACTGGAGAGGATCATCAGGGAGAGGGATGAACTAGAGATAATGAAGATGAAACTGCAAAGAGAAAAGGATGAAAGGAAAGGTGAAATGAAAAATTCTAGCATGTCAACAATCAAAAAAGTTCAAATTCAAAATAAAAGTCTATGGGAACTCATTCAGACATGTTTGCAGAAAGCTAATCTAATGACAAAACATACTAAAGATATTAAAGGAGCGATTGAAGCTAAAAAGAAAAACATTGAGGCCCAGATAAAAATCATAACCCGGGCAAGAGAAGAAGTGGAAAAAATAAAGATAGAGATTAAAAGGAAACAGGAAATTATTGCACGTGAGCAAAGAAATTTGGAGCAAGTGGAGATAACTAACATAAAAAAGGAAAAATCAAAAGAGTTAATGATGAAAGAAAAAGAGCTGGAGAATAAAGATCTTGAAAAGCTGAAGGCAAAGCTGAAGCAAGACAGAGAGGATCTGAACAGAATGACTGAGCTGTTGAACAAAGAGAAAGTGCACTTGGACCAGATGAGGTCTGACATCCAGAGACAAACTGACGTATTAGAACAAGAGAAACAAGACATAAAAGTGGCAAGAGACAAGTTGGACATCACAAAGACTGAGCTGCAAAAGAAGAAGGAAAATGCAGTCAGTCTGTTTGACGAGATAAACAGAGAGAAAACCCACGTGAAAAATCTGACTCTTCGGGTTCGGAGAGAACGAGATGAACTCGAAAATGTCATGAACATGATTACCTTCAGACAAAAAGAGCAAGAACTCAAGGAAGACGACATCAAAAGACAAACACAAGAACTGGAGACCAGTAAGAACAGTGTACTGGCAGAAAGAGAAGAACTGGAACTTTTGAGGAAGGACCTCAACAAGAAAGTAGAAGAGGTGGAATCAGCCACAAACAGCATGAGTGGAGAGCGCGAACAACTCACGAAAATGAAGACTGACCATGACAAAGGGAGAGAAATGCTTTTGAATGAAAAGGACATAATGGACAGAGAAAGGGAAGAGCTGAAAATAAGAGAAGATCAACTGATGAGTAAAATGAAATCCATAGAAACTCTGAGAGCAAAACTTCTACAGCAAAATGTGAAGATAAGTGAAGGCGTAAAATACAAGGTGGACAGGTTGAACAAAACAATGAGGATGTGCAAATGCTGTACACTGTATTGGAACAAAAGCTTGGAGAACTTGATAAACAGAAAGAAAGCGTGGCTGGTGACACTGAGATTTTAGAGAGAGAAAGGGAAAGTCTGCTAAGTATGCTCTCCGACATGGACATCCAGAGAGAACACATGGAAAATATGTGGAAGCAAAAGTTTGAGATGGAAAAACAAAATCTTGGAAAACTTAAGGCACAACTGAAGCGAGACAGAGAGGATCTGAATAGAAGGAATGAGCTGTTGAACAAAGAGAAAGTGGACTGTGACCAGATGCGGTCTGACATCCAGACACAAACTGACTTATTAGAACAAGAGAAACAAGACATAAAAGAGGAAAGAGACAGGTTGGAATTCACAAAGATAGAGCTGCAAAAGAAGAAGGAAAACCTTGAATGTCTGTTTGACGGCATATACAGAGAGAAAGCCAACATTAAAGATCTAGCCCTTCATGTTCAGACAAAAAGGGACGAACTTGAGAAAGTCATTAACATGATTGCCTTCAGACGAAAAGAACAAGAGCTCAGGGGAGACGACATCAAAAGACAAACACAAGAACTGGAGACCAGTAAGAACAGCGCACTGGCAGAAAGACAAGAACTGGAAGTTTTGAAGAAGCATCTCAACAAGAAGGGGGAAGAGCTTGAAGCTGCCATGAATAGCATCAGTGGAGAGAGAGGACAACTCAGTCAGATGAAGATCAGTACTGAGAGGGACAGGGAAATACTTTTGAATGAAAAGGACAGACTAGAAAGAGATCGGTCAGAGCTGAAAATAAGAAAAGAACAACTCTTGAATAAAATGAAATCAATAGAATCTCTGAGGGCAAAACTTCAACACCTGAGTGAAAGGATGAGTGAAGACATGAGAGACAAAATCGCCAGACTGGAGCAAAACAACGACGACATTCTGAAACTATTGACTGTATTGGAGCAAAAGCATTGGGATTTGTGTGAAAAGAAAGAATATATGCCACGTTACGCTAAGGCAATCGAGACTGAAAAGAAAGGTTTGAAGAGTGTTTTGGCCGAAATTGTCATCCAGAGACAAGATATGGAAAATCGAATGAAACAAGAGGCTTTGTTGGGAACGACGGATCTTGAAAAGCTGAAGGCAGAGCTGAAGCAAGACAGAGAGGATCTGAACAGAATGACTGAGCTGTTGAACAAAGAGAAAGTGCACTTGGACCAGATGAGGTCTGACATCCAGAGACAAACTGACGTATTAGAACAAGAGAAACAAGACATAAAAGTGGCAAGAGACAAGTTGGACATCACAAAGACTGAGCTGCAAAAGAAGAAGGAAAATGCAGTCAGTCTGTTTGACGAGATAAACAGAGAGAAAACCCACGTGAAAAATCTGACTCTTCGGGTTCGGAGAGAACGAGATGAACTCGAAAATGTCATGAACATGATTACCTTCAGACAAAAAGAGCAAGAACTCAAGGAAGACGACATCAAAAGACAAACACAAGAACTGGAGACCAGTAAGAACAGTGTACTGGCAGAAAGAGAAGAACTGGAACTTTTGAGGAAGGACCTCAACAAGAAAGTAGAAGAGGTGGAATCAGCCACAAACAGCATGAGTGGAGAGCGCGAACAACTCACGAAAATGAAGACTGACCATGACAAAGGGAGAGAAATGCTTTTGAATGAAAAGGACATAATGGACAGAGAAAGGGAAGAGCTGAAAATAAGAGAAGATCAACTGATGAGTAAAATGAAATCCATAGAAACTCTGAGAGCAAAACTTCTACAGCAAAATGTGACGATAAGTGAAGGCGTAAAATACAAGGTGGACAGGTTGAGACAAAACAATGAGGATGTGCTAATGCTGTACACTGTATTGGAACAAAAGCTTGGAGAACTTGATAAACAGAAAGAAAGCGTGGCTGGTGACACTGAGATTTTAGAGAGAGAAAGGGAAAGTCTGCTAAGTATGCTCTCCGACATGGACATCCAGAGAGAACACATGGAAAATATGTGGAAGCAAAAGTTTGAGATGGAAAAACAAAATCTTGGAAAACTTAAGGCACAACTGAAGCGAGACAGAGAGGATCTGAATAGAAGGAATGAGCTGTTGAACAAAGAGAAAGTGGACTGTGACCAGATGCGGTCTGACATCCAGACACAAACTGACTTATTAGAACAAGAGAAACAAGACATAAAAGAGGAAAGAGACAGGTTGGAATTCACAAAGATAGAGCTGCAAAAGAAGAAGGAAAACCTTGAATGTCTGTTTGACGGCATATACAGAGAGAAAGCCAACATTAAAGATCTAGCCCTTCATGTTCAGACAAAAAGGGACGAACTTGAGAAAGTCATTAACATGATTGCCTTCAGACGAAAAGAACAAGAGCTCAGGGGAGACGACATCAAAAGACAAACACAAGAACTGGAGACCAGTAAGAACAGCGCACTGGCAGAAAGACAAGAACTGGAAGTTTTGAAGAAGCATCTCAACAAGAAGGGGGAAGAGCTTGAAGCTGCCATGAATAGCATCAGTGGAGAGAGAGGACAACTCAGTCAGATGAAGATCAGTACTGAGAGGGACAGGGAAATACTTTTGAATGAAAAGGACAGACTAGAAAGAGATCGGTCAGAGCTGAAAATAAGAAAAGAACAACTCTTGAATAAAATGAAATCAATAGAATCTCTGAGGGCAAAACTTCAACACCTGAGTGAAAGGATGAGTGAAGACATGAGAGACAAAATCGCCAGACTGGAGCAAAACAACGACGACATTCTGAAACTATTGACTGTATTGGAGCAAAAGCATTGGGATTTGTGTGAAAAGAAAGAATATATGCCACGTTACGCTAAGGCAATCGAGACTGAAAAGAAAGGTTTGAAGAGTGTTTTGGCCGAAATTGTCATCCAGAGACAAGATATGGAAAATCGAATGAAACAAGAGGCTTTGTTGGGAACGACGGATCTTGAAAAGCTGAAGGCAGAGCTGAAGCAAGACAGAGAGGATCTGAACAGAATGACTGAGCTGTTGAACAAAGAGAAAGTGCACTTGGACCAGATGAGGTCTGACATCCAGAGACAAACTGACGTATTAGAACAAGAGAAACAAGACATAAAAGTGGCAAGAGACAAGTTGGACATCACAAAGACTGAGCTGCAAAAGAAGAAGGAAAATGCAGTCAGTCTGTTTGACGAGATAAACAGAGAGAAAACCCACGTGAAAAATCTGACTCTTCGGGTTCGGAGAGAACGAGATGAACTCGAAAATGTCATGAACATGATTACCTTCAGACAAAAAGAGCAAGAACTCAAGGAAGACGACATCAAAAGACAAACACAAGAACTGGAGACCAGTAAGAACAGTGTACTGGCAGAAAGAGAAGAACTGGAACTTTTGAGGAAGGACCTCAACAAGAAAGTAGAAGAGGTGGAATCAGCCACAAACAGCATGAGTGGAGAGCGCGAACAACTCACGAAAATGAAGACTGACCATGACAAAGGGAGAGAAATGCTTTTGAATGAAAAGGACATAATGGACAGAGAAAGGGAAGAGCTGAAAATAAGAGAAGATCAACTGATGAGTAAAATGAAATCCATAGAAACTCTGAGAGCAAAACTTCTACAGCAAAATGTGACGATAAGTGAAGGCGTAAAATACAAGGTGGACAGGTTGAGACAAAACAATGAGGATGTGCTAATGCTGTACACTGTATTGGAACAAAAGCTTGGAGAACTTGATAAACAGAAAGAAAGCGTGGCTGGTGACACTGAGATTTTAGAGAGAGAAAGGGAAAGTCTGCTAAGTATGCTCTCCGACATGGACATCCAGAGAGAACACATGGAAAATATGTGGAAGCAAAAGTTTGAGATGGAAAAACAAAATCTTGGAAAACTTAAGGCACAACTGAAGCGAGACAGAGAGGATCTGAATAGAAGGAATGAGCTGTTGAACAAAGAGAAAGTGGACTGTGACCAGATGCGGTCTGACATCCAGACACAAACTGACTTATTAGAACAAGAGAAACAAGACATAAAAGAGGAAAGAGACAGGTTGGAATTCACAAAGATAGAGCTGCAAAAGAAGAAGGAAAACCTTGAATGTCTGTTTGACGGCATATACAGAGAGAAAGCCAACATTAAAGATCTAGCCCTTCATGTTCAGACAAAAAGGGACGAACTTGAGAAAGTCATTAACATGATTGCCTTCAGACGAAAAGAACAAGAGCTCAGGGGAGACGACATCAAAAGACAAACACAAGAACTGGAGACCAGTAAGAACAGCGCACTGGCAGAAAGACAAGAACTGGAAGTTTTGAAGAAGCATCTCAACAAGAAGGGGGAAGAGCTTGAAGCTGCCATGAATAGCATCAGTGGAGAGAGAGGACAACTCAGTCAGATGAAGATCAGTACTGAGAGGGACAGGGAAATACTTTTGAATGAAAAGGACAGACTAGAAAGAGATCGGTCAGAGCTGAAAATAAGAAAAGAACAACTCTTGAATAAAATGAAATCAATAGAATCTCTGAGGGCAAAACTTCAACACCTGAGTGAAAGGATGAGTGAAGACATGAGAGACAAAATCGCCAGACTGGAGCAAAACAACGACGACATTCTGAAACTATTGACTGTATTGGAGCAAAAGCATTGGGATTTGTGTGAAAAGAAAGAATATATGCCACGTTACGCTAAGGCAATCGAGACTGAAAAGAAAGGTTTGAAGAGTGTTTTGGCCGAAATTGTCATCCAGAGACAAGATATGGAAAATCGAATGAAACAAGAGGCTTTGTTGGGAACGACGGATCTTGAAAAGCTGAAGGCAGAGCTGAAGCAAGACAGAGAGGATCTGAACAGAATGACTGAGCTGTTGAACAAAGAGAAAGTGCACTTGGACCAGATGAGGTCTGACATCCAGAGACAAACTGACGTATTAGAACAAGAGAAACAAGACATAAAAGTGGCAAGAGACAAGTTGGACATCACAAAGACTGAGCTGCAAAAGAAGAAGGAAAATGCAGTCAGTCTGTTTGACGAGATAAACAGAGAGAAAACCCACGTGAAAAATCTGACTCTTCGGGTTCGGAGAGAACGAGATGAACTCGAAAATGTCATGAACATGATTACCTTCAGACAAAAAGAGCAAGAACTCAAGGAAGACGACATCAAAAGACAAACACAAGAACTGGAGACCAGTAAGAACAGTGTACTGGCAGAAAGAGAAGAACTGGAACTTTTGAGGAAGGACCTCAACAAGAAAGTAGAAGAGGTGGAATCAGCCACAAACAGCATGAGTGGAGAGCGCGAACAACTCACGAAAATGAAGACTGACCATGACAAAGGGAGAGAAATGCTTTTGAATGAAAAGGACATAATGGACAGAGAAAGGGAAGAGCTGAAAATAAGAGAAGATCAACTGATGAGTAAAATGAAATCCATAGAAACTCTGAGAGCAAAACTTCTACAGCAAAATGTGACGATAAGTGAAGGCGTAAAATACAAGGTGGACAGGTTGAGACAAAACAATGAGGATGTGCTAATGCTGTACACTGTATTGGAACAAAAGCTTGGAGAACTTGATAAACAGAAAGAAAGCGTGGCTGGTGACACTGAGATTTTAGAGAGAGAAAGGGAAAGTCTGCTAAGTATGCTCTCCGACATGGACATCCAGAGAGAACACATGGAAAATATGTGGAAGCAAAAGTTTGAGATGGAAAAACAAAATCTTGGAAAACTTAAGGCACAACTGAAGCGAGACAGAGAGGATCTGAATAGAAGGAATGAGCTGTTGAACAAAGAGAAAGTGGACTGTGACCAGATGCGGTCTGACATCCAGACACAAACTGACTTATTAGAACAAGAGAAACAAGACATAAAAGAGGAAAGAGACAGGTTGGAATTCACAAAGATAGAGCTGCAAAAGAAGAAGGAAAACCTTGAATGTCTGTTTGACGGCATATACAGAGAGAAAGCCAACATTAAAGATCTAGCCCTTCATGTTCAGACAAAAAGGGACGAACTTGAGAAAGTCATTAACATGATTGCCTTCAGACGAAAAGAACAAGAGCTCAGGGGAGACGACATCAAAAGACAAACACAAGAACTGGAGACCAGTAAGAACAGCGCACTGGCAGAAAGACAAGAACTGGAAGTTTTGAAGAAGCATCTCAACAAGAAGGGGGAAGAGCTTGAAGCTGCCATGAATAGCATCAGTGGAGAGAGAGGACAACTCAGTCAGATGAAGATCAGTACTGAGAGGGACAGGGAAATACTTTTGAATGAAAAGGACAGACTAGAAAGAGATCGGTCAGAGCTGAAAATAAGAAAAGAACAACTCTTGAATAAAATGAAATCAATAGAATCTCTGAGGGCAAAACTTCAACACCTGAGTGAAAGGATGAGTGAAGACATGAGAGACAAAATCGCCAGACTGGAGCAAAACAACGACGACATTCTGAAACTATTGACTGTATTGGAGCAAAAGCATTGGGATTTGTGTGAAAAGAAAGAATATATGCCACGTTACGCTAAGGCAATCGAGACTGAAAAGAAAGGTTTGAAGAGTGTTTTGGCCGAAATTGTCATCCAGAGACAAGATATGGAAAATCGAATGAAACAAGAGGCTTTGTTGGGAACGACGGATCTTGAAAAGCTGAAGGCAGAGCTGAAGCAAGACAGAGAGGATCTGAACAGAATGACTGAGCTGTTGAACAAAGAGAAAGTGCACTTGGACCAGATGAGGTCTGACATCCAGAGACAAACTGACGTATTAGAACAAGAGAAACAAGACATAAAAGTGGCAAGAGACAAGTTGGACATCACAAAGACTGAGCTGCAAAAGAAGAAGGAAAATGCAGTCAGTCTGTTTGACGAGATAAACAGAGAGAAAACCCACGTGAAAAATCTGACTCTTCGGGTTCGGAGAGAACGAGATGAACTCGAAAATGTCATGAACATGATTACCTTCAGACAAAAAGAGCAAGAACTCAAGGAAGACGACATCAAAAGACAAACACAAGAACTGGAGACCAGTAAGAACAGTGTACTGGCAGAAAGAGAAGAACTGGAACTTTTGAGGAAGGACCTCAACAAGAAAGTAGAAGAGGTGGAATCAGCCACAAACAGCATGAGTGGAGAGCGCGAACAACTCACGAAAATGAAGACTGACCATGACAAAGGGAGAGAAATGCTTTTGAATGAAAAGGACATAATGGACAGAGAAAGGGAAGAGCTGAAAATAAGAGAAGATCAACTGATGAGTAAAATGAAATCCATAGAAACTCTGAGAGCAAAACTTCTACAGCAAAATGTGACGATAAGTGAAGGCGTAAAATACAAGGTGGACAGGTTGAGACAAAACAATGAGGATGTGCTAATGCTGTACACTGTATTGGAACAAAAGCTTGGAGAACTTGATAAACAGAAAGAAAGCGTGGCTGGTGACACTGAGATTTTAGAGAGAGAAAGGGAAAGTCTGCTAAGTATGCTCTCCGACATGGACATCCAGAGAGAACACATGGAAAATATGTGGAAGCAAAAGTTTGAGATGGAAAAACAAAATCTTGGAAAACTTAAGGCACAACTGAAGCGAGACAGAGAGGATCTGAATAGAAGGAATGAGCTGTTGAACAAAGAGAAAGTGGACTGTGACCAGATGCGGTCTGACATCCAGACACAAACTGACTTATTAGAACAAGAGAAACAAGACATAAAAGAGGAAAGAGACAGGTTGGAATTCACAAAGATAGAGCTGCAAAAGAAGAAGGAAAACCTTGAATGTCTGTTTGACGGCATATACAGAGAGAAAGCCAACATTAAAGATCTAGCCCTTCATGTTCAGACAAAAAGGGACGAACTTGAGAAAGTCATTAACATGATTGCCTTCAGACGAAAAGAACAAGAGCTCAGGGGAGACGACATCAAAAGACAAACACAAGAACTGGAGACCAGTAAGAACAGCGCACTGGCAGAAAGACAAGAACTGGAAGTTTTGAAGAAGCATCTCAACAAGAAGGGGGAAGAGCTTGAAGCTGCCATGAATAGCATCAGTGGAGAGAGAGGACAACTCAGTCAGATGAAGATCAGTACTGAGAGGGACAGGGAAATACTTTTGAATGAAAAGGACAGACTAGAAAGAGATCGGTCAGAGCTGAAAATAAGAAAAGAACAACTCTTGAATAAAATGAAATCAATAGAATCTCTGAGGGCAAAACTTCAACACCTGAGTGAAAGGATGAGTGAAGACATGAGAGACAAAATCGCCAGACTGGAGCAAAACAACGACGACATTCTGAAACTATTGACTGTATTGGAGCAAAAGCATTGGGATTTGTGTGAAAAGAAAGAATATATGCCACGTTACGCTAAGGCAATCGAGACTGAAAAGAAAGGTTTGAAGAGTGTTTTGGCCGAAATTGTCATCCAGAGACAAGATATGGAAAATCGAATGAAACAAGAGGCTTTGTTGGGAACGACGGATCTTGAAAAGCTGAAGGCAGAGCTGAAGCAAGACAGAGAGGATCTGAACAGAATGACTGAGCTGTTGAACAAAGAGAAAGTGCACTTGGACCAGATGAGGTCTGACATCCAGAGACAAACTGACGTATTAGAACAAGAGAAACAAGACATAAAAGTGGCAAGAGACAAGTTGGACATCACAAAGACTGAGCTGCAAAAGAAGAAGGAAAATGCAGTCAGTCTGTTTGACGAGATAAACAGAGAGAAAACCCACGTGAAAAATCTGACTCTTCGGGTTCGGAGAGAACGAGATGAACTCGAAAATGTCATGAACATGATTACCTTCAGACAAAAAGAGCAAGAACTCAAGGAAGACGACATCAAAAGACAAACACAAGAACTGGAGACCAGTAAGAACAGTGTACTGGCAGAAAGAGAAGAACTGGAACTTTTGAGGAAGGACCTCAACAAGAAAGTAGAAGAGGTGGAATCAGCCACAAACAGCATGAGTGGAGAGCGCGAACAACTCACGAAAATGAAGACTGACCATGACAAAGGGAGAGAAATGCTTTTGAATGAAAAGGACATAATGGACAGAGAAAGGGAAGAGCTGAAAATAAGAGAAGATCAACTGATGAGTAAAATGAAATCCATAGAAACTCTGAGAGCAAAACTTCTACAGCAAAATGTGAAGATAAGTGAAGGCGTAAAATACAAGGTGGACAGGTTGAGACAAAACAATGAGGATGTGCTAATGCTGTACACTGTATTGGAACAAAAGCTTGGAGAACTTGATAAACAGAAAGAAAGCGTGGCTGGTGACACTGAGATTTTAGAGAGAGAAAGGGAAAGTCTGCTAAGTATGCTCTCCGACATGGACATCCAGAGAGAACACATGGAAAATATGTGGAAGCAAAAGTTTGAGATGGAAAAACAAAATCTTGGAAAACTTAAGGCACAACTGAAGCGAGACAGAGAGGATCTGAATAGAAGGAATGAGCTGTTGAACAAAGAGAAAGTGGACTGTGACCAGATGCGGTCTGACATCCAGACACAAACTGACTTATTAGAACAAGAGAAACAAGACATAAAAGAGGAAAGAGACAGGTTGGAATTCACAAAGATAGAGCTGCAAAAGAAGAAGGAAAACCTTGAATGTCTGTTTGACGGCATATACAGAGAGAAAGCCAACATTAAAGATCTAGCCCTTCATGTTCAGACAAAAAGGGACGAACTTGAGAAAGTCATTAACATGATTGCCTTCAGACGAAAAGAACAAGAGCTCAGGGGAGACGACATCAAAAGACAAACACAAGAACTGGAGACCAGTAAGAACAGCGCACTGGCAGAAAGACAAGAACTGGAAGTTTTGAAGAAGCATCTCAACAAGAAGGGGGAAGAGCTTGAAGCTGCCATGAATAGCATCAGTGGAGAGAGGACAACTCAGTCAGATGAAGATCAGTACTGAGAGGGACAGGGAAATACTTTTGAATGAAAAGGACAGACTAGAAAGAGATCGGTCAGAGCTGAAAATAAGAAAAGAACAACTCTTGAATAAAATGAAATCAATAGAATCTCTGAGGGCAAAACTTCAACACCTGAGTGAAAGGATGAGTGAAGACATGAGAGACAAAATCGCCAGACTGGAGCAAAACAACGACGACATTCTGAAACTATTGACTGTATTGGAGCAAAAGCATTGGGATTTGTGTGAAAAGAAAGAATATATGCCACGTTACGCTAAGGCAATCGAGACTGAAAAGAAAGGTTTGAAGAGTGTTTTGGCCGAAATTGTCATCCAGAGACAAGATATGGAAAATCGAATGAAACAAGAGGCTTTGTTGGGAACGACGGATCTTGAAAAGCTGAAGGCAGAGCTGAAGCAAGACAGAGAGGATCTGAATAGAAGGAATGAGCTGTTGAACAAAGAGAAAGTGGACTGTGACCAGATGCGGTCTGACATCCAGACACAAACTGACTTATTAGAACAAGAGAAACAAGACATAAAAGAGGAAAGAGACAGGTTGGAATTCACAAAGATAGAGCTGCAAAAGAAGAAGGAAAACCTTGAATGTCTGTTTGACGGCATATACAGAGAGAAAGCCAACATTAAAGATCTAGCCCTTCATGTTCAGACAAAAAGGGACGAACTTGAGAAAGTCATTAACATGATTGCCTTCAGACGAAAAGAACAAGAGCTCAGGGGAGACGACATCAAAAGACAAACACAAGAACTGGAGACCAGTAAGAACAGCGCACTGGCAGAAAGACAAGAACTGGAAGTTTTGAAGAAGCATCTCAACAAGAAGGGGGAAGAGCTTGAAGCTGCCATGAATAGCATCAGTGGAGAGAGAGGACAACTCAGTCAGATGAAGATCAGTACTGAGAGGGACAGGGAAATACTTTTGAATGAAAAGGACAGACTAGAAAGAGATCGGTCAGAGCTGAAAATAAGAAAAGAACAACTCTTGAATAAAATGAAATCAATAGAATCTCTGAGGGCAAAACTTCAACACCTGAGTGAAAGGATGAGTGAAGACATGAGAGACAAAATCGCCAGACTGGAGCAAAACAACGACGACATTCTGAAACTATTGACTGTATTGGAGCAAAAGCATTGGGATTTGTGTGAAAAGAAAGAATATATGCCACGTTACGCTAAGGCAATCGAGACTGAAAAGAAAGGTTTGAAGAGTGTTTTGGCCGAAATTGTCATCCAGAGACAAGATATGGAAAATCGAATGAAACAAGAGGCTTTGTTGGGAACGACGGATCTTGAAAAGCTGAAGGCAGAGCTGAAGCAAGACAGAGAGGATCTGAACAGAATGACTGAGCTGTTGAACAAAGAGAAAGTGCACTTGGACCAGATGAGGTCTGACATCCAGAGACAAACTGACGTATTAGAACAAGAGAAACAAGACATAAAAGTGGCAAGAGACAAGTTGGACATCACAAAGACTGAGCTGCAAAAGAAGAAGGAAAATGCAGTCAGTCTGTTTGACGAGATAAACAGAGAGAAAACCCACGTGAAAAATCTGACTCTTCGGGTTCGGAGAGAACGAGATGAACTCGAAAATGTCATGAACATGATTACCTTCAGACAAAAAGAGCAAGAACTCAAGGAAGACGACATCAAAAGACAAACACAAGAACTGGAGACCAGTAAGAACAGTGTACTGGCAGAAAGAGAAGAACTGGAACTTTTGAGGAAGGACCTCAACAAGAAAGTAGAAGAGGTGGAATCAGCCACAAACAGCATGAGTGGAGAGCGCGAACAACTCACGAAAATGAAGACTGACCATGACAAAGGGAGAGAAATGCTTTTGAATGAAAAGGACATAATGGACAGAGAAAGGGAAGAGCTGAAAATAAGAGAAGATCAACTGATGAGTAAAATGAAATCCATAGAAACTCTGAGAGCAAAACTTCTACAGCAAAATGTGACGATAAGTGAAGGCGTAAAATACAAGGTGGACAGGTTGAGACAAAACAATGAGGATGTGCTAATGCTGTACACTGTATTGGAACAAAAGCTTGGAGAACTTGATAAACAGAAAGAAAGCGTGGCTGGTGACACTGAGATTTTAGAGAGAGAAAGGGAAAGTCTGCTAAGTATGCTCTCCGACATGGACATCCAGAGAGAACACATGGAAAATATGTGGAAGCAAAAGTTTGAGATGGAAAAACAAAATCTTGGAAAACTTAAGGCACAACTGAAGCGAGACAGAGAGGATCTGAATAGAAGGAATGAGCTGTTGAACAAAGAGAAAGTGGACTGTGACCAGATGCGGTCTGACATCCAGACACAAACTGACTTATTAGAACAAGAGAAACAAGACATAAAAGAGGAAAGAGACAGGTTGGAATTCACAAAGATAGAGCTGCAAAAGAAGAAGGAAAACCTTGAATGTCTGTTTGACGGCATATACAGAGAGAAAGCCAACATTAAAGATCTAGCCCTTCATGTTCAGACAAAAAGGGACGAACTTGAGAAAGTCATTAACATGATTGCCTTCAGACGAAAAGAACAAGAGCTCAGGGGAGACGACATCAAAAGACAAACACAAGAACTGGAGACCAGTAAGAACAGCGCACTGGCAGAAAGACAAGAACTGGAAGTTTTGAAGAAGCATCTCAACAAGAAGGGGGAAGAGCTTGAAGCTGCCATGAATAGCATCAGTGGAGAGAGAGGACAACTCAGTCAGATGAAGATCAGTACTGAGAGGGACAGGGAAATACTTTTGAATGAAAAGGACAGACTAGAAAGAGATCGGTCAGAGCTGAAAATAAGAAAAGAACAACTCTTGAATAAAATGAAATCAATAGAATCTCTGAGGGCAAAACTTCAACACCTGAGTGAAAGGATGAGTGAAGACATGAGAGACAAAATCGCCAGACTGGAGCAAAACAACGACGACATTCTGAAACTATTGACTGTATTGGAGCAAAAGCATTGGGATTTGTGTGAAAAGAAAGAATATATGCCACGTTACGCTAAGGCAATCGAGACTGAAAAGAAAGGTTTGAAGAGTGTTTTGGCCGAAATTGTCATCCAGAGACAAGATATGGAAAATCGAATGAAACAAGAGGCTTTGTTGGGAACGACGGATCTTGAAAAGCTGAAGGCAGAGCTGAAGCAAGACAGAGAGGATCTGAACAGAATGACTGAGCTGTTGAACAAAGAGAAAGTGCACTTGGACCAGATGAGGTCTGACATCCAGAGACAAACTGACGTATTAGAACAAGAGAAACAAGACATAAAAGTGGCAAGAGACAAGTTGGACATCACAAAGACTGAGCTGCAAAAGAAGAAGGAAAATGCAGTCAGTCTGTTTGACGAGATAAACAGAGAGAAAACCCACGTGAAAAATCTGACTCTTCGGGTTCGGAGAGAACGAGATGAACTCGAAAATGTCATGAACATGATTACCTTCAGACAAAAAGAGCAAGAACTCAAGGAAGACGACATCAAAAGACAAACACAAGAACTGGAGACCAGTAAGAACAGTGTACTGGCAGAAAGAGAAGAACTGGAACTTTTGAGGAAGGACCTCAACAAGAAAGTAGAAGAGGTGGAATCAGCCACAAACAGCATGAGTGGAGAGCGCGAACAACTCACGAAAATGAAGACTGACCATGACAAAGGGAGAGAAATGCTTTTGAATGAAAAGGACATAATGGACAGAGAAAGGGAAGAGCTGAAAATAAGAGAAGATCAACTGATGAGTAAAATGAAATCCATAGAAACTCTGAGAGCAAAACTTCTACAGCAAAATGTGACGATAAGTGAAGGCGTAAAATACAAGGTGGACAGGTTGAGACAAAACAATGAGGATGTGCTAATGCTGTACACTGTATTGGAACAAAAGCTTGGAGAACTTGATAAACAGAAAGAAAGCGTGGCTGGTGACACTGAGATTTTAGAGAGAGAAAGGGAAAGTCTGCTAAGTATGCTCTCCGACATGGACATCCAGAGAGAACACATGGAAAATATGTGGAAGCAAAAGTTTGAGATGGAAAAACAAAATCTTGGAAAACTTAAGGCACAACTGAAGCGAGACAGAGAGGATCTGAATAGAAGGAATGAGCTGTTGAACAAAGAGAAAGTGGACTGTGACCAGATGCGGTCTGACATCCAGACACAAACTGACTTATTAGAACAAGAGAAACAAGACATAAAAGAGGAAAGAGACAGGTTGGAATTCACAAAGATAGAGCTGCAAAAGAAGAAGGAAAACCTTGAATGTCTGTTTGACGGCATATACAGAGAGAAAGCCAACATTAAAGATCTAGCCCTTCATGTTCAGACAAAAAGGGACGAACTTGAGAAAGTCATTAACATGATTGCCTTCAGACGAAAAGAACAAGAGCTCAGGGGAGACGACATCAAAAGACAAACACAAGAACTGGAGACCAGTAAGAACAGCGCACTGGCAGAAAGACAAGAACTGGAAGTTTTGAAGAAGCATCTCAACAAGAAGGGGGAAGAGCTTGAAGCTGCCATGAATAGCATCAGTGGAGAGAGAGGACAACTCAGTCAGATGAAGATCAGTACTGAGAGGGACAGGGAAATACTTTTGAATGAAAAGGACAGACTAGAAAGAGATCGGTCAGAGCTGAAAATAAGAAAAGAACAACTCTTGAATAAAATGAAATCAATAGAATCTCTGAGGGCAAAACTTCAACACCTGAGTGAAAGGATGAGTGAAGACATGAGAGACAAAATCGCCAGACTGGAGCAAAACAACGACGACATTCTGAAACTATTGACTGTATTGGAGCAAAAGCATTGGGATTTGTGTGAAAAGAAAGAATATATGCCACGTTACGCTAAGGCAATCGAGACTGAAAAGAAAGGTTTGAAGAGTGTTTTGGCCGAAATTGTCATCCAGAGACAAGATATGGAAAATCGAATGAAACAAGAGGCTTTGTTGGGAACGACGGATCTTGAAAAGCTGAAGGCAGAGCTGAAGCAAGACAGAGAGGATCTGAACAGAATGACTGAGCTGTTGAACAAAGAGAAAGTGCACTTGGACCAGATGAGGTCTGACATCCAGAGACAAACTGACGTATTAGAACAAGAGAAACAAGACATAAAAGTGGCAAGAGACAAGTTGGACATCACAAAGACTGAGCTGCAAAAGAAGAAGGAAAATGCAGTCAGTCTGTTTGACGAGATAAACAGAGAGAAAACCCACGTGAAAAATCTGACTCTTCGGGTTCGGAGAGAACGAGATGAACTCGAAAATGTCATGAACATGATTACCTTCAGACAAAAAGAGCAAGAACTCAAGGAAGACGACATCAAAAGACAAACACAAGAACTGGAGACCAGTAAGAACAGTGTACTGGCAGAAAGAGAAGAACTGGAACTTTTGAGGAAGGACCTCAACAAGAAAGTAGAAGAGGTGGAATCAGCCACAAACAGCATGAGTGGAGAGCGCGAACAACTCACGAAAATGAAGACTGACCATGACAAAGGGAGAGAAATGCTTTTGAATGAAAAGGACATAATGGACAGAGAAAGGGAAGAGCTGAAAATAAGAGAAGATCAACTGATGAGTAAAATGAAATCCATAGAAACTCTGAGAGCAAAACTTCTACAGCAAAATGTGACGATAAGTGAAGGCGTAAAATACAAGGTGGACAGGTTGAGACAAAACAATGAGGATGTGCTAATGCTGTACACTGTATTGGAACAAAAGCTTGGAGAACTTGATAAACAGAAAGAAAGCGTGGCTGGTGACACTGAGATTTTAGAGAGAGAAAGGGAAAGTCTGCTAAGTATGCTCTCCGACATGGACATCCAGAGAGAACACATGGAAAATATGTGGAAGCAAAAGTTTGAGATGGAAAAACAAAATCTTGGAAAACTTAAGGCACAACTGAAGCGAGACAGAGAGGATCTGAATAGAAGGAATGAGCTGTTGAACAAAGAGAAAGTGGACTGTGACCAGATGCGGTCTGACATCCAGACACAAACTGACTTATTAGAACAAGAGAAACAAGACATAAAAGAGGAAAGAGACAGGTTGGAATTCACAAAGATAGAGCTGCAAAAGAAGAAGGAAAACCTTGAATGTCTGTTTGACGGCATATACAGAGAGAAAGCCAACATTAAAGATCTAGCCCTTCATGTTCAGACAAAAAGGGACGAACTTGAGAAAGTCATTAACATGATTGCCTTCAGACGAAAAGAACAAGAGCTCAGGGGAGACGACATCAAAAGACAAACACAAGAACTGGAGACCAGTAAGAACAGCGCACTGGCAGAAAGACAAGAACTGGAAGTTTTGAAGAAGCATCTCAACAAGAAGGGGGAAGAGCTTGAAGCTGCCATGAATAGCATCAGTGGAGAGAGAGGACAACTCAGTCAGATGAAGATCAGTACTGAGAGGGACAGGGAAATACTTTTGAATGAAAAGGACAGACTAGAAAGAGATCGGTCAGAGCTGAAAATAAGAAAAGAACAACTCTTGAATAAAATGAAATCAATAGAATCTCTGAGGGCAAAACTTCAACACCTGAGTGAAAGGATGAGTGAAGACATGAGAGACAAAATCGCCAGACTGGAGCAAAACAACGACGACATTCTGAAACTATTGACTGTATTGGAGCAAAAGCATTGGGATTTGTGTGAAAAGAAAGAATATATGCCACGTTACGCTAAGGCAATCGAGACTGAAAAGAAAGGTTTGAAGAGTGTTTTGGCCGAAATTGTCATCCAGAGACAAGATATGGAAAATCGAATGAAACAAGAGGCTTTGTTGGGAACGACGGATCTTGAAAAGCTGAAGGCAGAGCTGAAGCAAGACAGAGAGGATCTGAACAGAATGACTGAGCTGTTGAACAAAGAGAAAGTGCACTTGGACCAGATGAGGTCTGACATCCAGAGACAAACTGACGTATTAGAACAAGAGAAACAAGACATAAAAGTGGCAAGAGACAAGTTGGACATCACAAAGACTGAGCTGCAAAAGAAGAAGGAAAATGCAGTCAGTCTGTTTGACGAGATAAACAGAGAGAAAACCCACGTGAAAAATCTGACTCTTCGGGTTCGGAGAGAACGAGATGAACTCGAAAATGTCATGAACATGATTACCTTCAGACAAAAAGAGCAAGAACTCAAGGAAGACGACATCAAAAGACAAACACAAGAACTGGAGACCAGTAAGAACAGTGTACTGGCAGAAAGAGAAGAACTGGAACTTTTGAGGAAGGACCTCAACAAGAAAGTAGAAGAGGTGGAATCAGCCACAAACAGCATGAGTGGAGAGCGCGAACAACTCACGAAAATGAAGACTGACCATGACAAAGGGAGAGAAATGCTTTTGAATGAAAAGGACATAATGGACAGAGAAAGGGAAGAGCTGAAAATAAGAGAAGATCAACTGATGAGTAAAATGAAATCCATAGAAACTCTGAGAGCAAAACTTCTACAGCAAAATGTGACGATAAGTGAAGGCGTAAAATACAAGGTGGACAGGTTGAGACAAAACAATGAGGATGTGCTAATGCTGTACACTGTATTGGAACAAAAGCTTGGAGAACTTGATAAACAGAAAGAAAGCGTGGCTGGTGACACTGAGATTTTAGAGAGAGAAAGGGAAAGTCTGCTAAGTATGCTCTCCGACATGGACATCCAGAGAGAACACATGGAAAATATGTGGAAGCAAAAGTTTGAGATGGAAAAACAAAATCTTGGAAAACTTAAGGCACAACTGAAGCGAGACAGAGAGGATCTGAATAGAAGGAATGAGCTGTTGAACAAAGAGAAAGTGGACTGTGACCAGATGCGGTCTGACATCCAGACACAAACTGACTTATTAGAACAAGAGAAACAAGACATAAAAGAGGAAAGAGACAGGTTGGAATTCACAAAGATAGAGCTGCAAAAGAAGAAGGAAAACCTTGAATGTCTGTTTGACGGCATATACAGAGAGAAAGCCAACATTAAAGATCTAGCCCTTCATGTTCAGACAAAAAGGGACGAACTTGAGAAAGTCATTAACATGATTGCCTTCAGACGAAAAGAACAAGAGCTCAGGGGAGACGACATCAAAAGACAAACACAAGAACTGGAGACCAGTAAGAACAGCGCACTGGCAGAAAGACAAGAACTGGAAGTTTTGAAGAAGCATCTCAACAAGAAGGGGGAAGAGCTTGAAGCTGCCATGAATAGCATCAGTGGAGAGAGAGGACAACTCAGTCAGATGAAGATCAGTACTGAGAGGGACAGGGAAATACTTTTGAATGAAAAGGACAGACTAGAAAGAGATCGGTCAGAGCTGAAAATAAGAAAAGAACAACTCTTGAATAAAATGAAATCAATAGAATCTCTGAGGGCAAAACTTCAACACCTGAGTGAAAGGATGAGTGAAGACATGAGAGACAAAATCGCCAGACTGGAGCAAAACAACGACGACATTCTGAAACTATTGACTGTATTGGAGCAAAAGCATTGGGATTTGTGTGAAAAGAAAGAATATATGCCACGTTACGCTAAGGCAATCGAGACTGAAAAGAAAGGTTTGAAGAGTGTTTTGGCCGAAATTGTCATCCAGAGACAAGATATGGAAAATCGAATGAAACAAGAGGCTTTGTTGGGAACGACGGATCTTGAAAAGCTGAAGGCAGAGCTGAAGCAAGACAGAGAGGATCTGAACAGAATGACTGAGCTGTTGAACAAAGAGAAAGTGCACTTGGACCAGATGAGGTCTGACATCCAGAGACAAACTGACGTATTAGAACAAGAGAAACAAGACATAAAAGTGGCAAGAGACAAGTTGGACATCACAAAGACTGAGCTGCAAAAGAAGAAGGAAAATGCAGTCAGTCTGTTTGACGAGATAAACAGAGAGAAAACCCACGTGAAAAATCTGACTCTTCGGGTTCGGAGAGAACGAGATGAACTCGAAAATGTCATGAACATGATTACCTTCAGACAAAAAGAGCAAGAACTCAAGGAAGACGACATCAAAAGACAAACACAAGAACTGGAGACCAGTAAGAACAGTGTACTGGCAGAAAGAGAAGAACTGGAACTTTTGAGGAAGGACCTCAACAAGAAAGTAGAAGAGGTGGAATCAGCCACAAACAGCATGAGTGGAGAGCGCGAACAACTCACGAAAATGAAGACTGACCATGACAAAGGGAGAGAAATGCTTTTGAATGAAAAGGACATAATGGACAGAGAAAGGGAAGAGCTGAAAATAAGAGAAGATCAACTGATGAGTAAAATGAAATCCATAGAAACTCTGAGAGCAAAACTTCTACAGCAAAATGTGAAGATAAGTGAAGGCGTAAAATACAAGGTGGACAGGTTGAGACAAAACAATGAGGATGTGCTAATGCTGTACACTGTATTGGAACAAAAGCTTGGAGAACTTGATAAACAGAAAGAAAGCGTGGCTGGTGACACTGAGATTTTAGAGAGAGAAAGGGAAAGTCTGCTAAGTATGCTCTCCGACATGGACATCCAGAGAGAACACATGGAAAATATGTGGAAGCAAAAGTTTGAGATGGAAAAACAAAATCTTGGAAAACTTAAGGCACAACTGAAGCGAGACAGAGAGGATCTGAATAGAAGGAATGAGCTGTTGAACAAAGAGAAAGTGGACTGTGACCAGATGCGGTCTGACATCCAGACACAAACTGACTTATTAGAACAAGAGAAACAAGACATAAAAGAGGAAAGAGACAGGTTGGAATTCACAAAGATAGAGCTGCAAAAGAAGAAGGAAAACCTTGAATGTCTGTTTGACGGCATATACAGAGAGAAAGCCAACATTAAAGATCTAGCCCTTCATGTTCAGACAAAAAGGGACGAACTTGAGAAAGTCATTAACATGATTGCCTTCAGACGAAAAGAACAAGAGCTCAGGGGAGACATCAAAAGACAAACACAAGAACTGGAGACCAGTAAGAACAGCGCACTGGCAGAAAGACAAGAACTGGAAGTTTTGAAGAAGCATCTCAACAAGAAGGGGGAAGAGCTTGAAGCTGCCATGAATAGCATCAGTGGAGAGAGAGGACAACTCAGTCAGATGAAGATCAGTACTGAGAGGGACAGGGAAATACTTTTGAATGAAAAGGACAGACTAGAAAGAGATCGGTCAGAGCTGAAAATAAGAAAAGAACAACTCTTGAATAAAATGAAATCAATAGAATCTCTGAGGGCAAAACTTCAACACCTGAGTGAAAGGGAGTGAAGACATGAGAGACAAAATCGCCAGACTGGAGCAAAACAACGACGACATTCTGAAACTATTGACTGTATTGGAGCAAAAGCATTGGGATTTGTGTGAAAAGAAAGAATATATGCCACGTTACGCTAAGGCAATCGAGACTGAAA